TGTTACAGAGTCTGGCAATGACATGTCTGCGGGAGACAGCAGGGAATAAGTCCTTTAGTCTTTTTAATTATATAGTTAATTAACTTCATATCATCAAGTTAATTATAGCTTCAGAGTCTTACCGATTACCGGGATGACACAACAGTCCACTTTAGTGATTCAGTGCTCGTGCACGAGTGTTCTCTCCCATCTTCAAATGTTCCACAAGATGTTCTTCCTGGCATCCAAGTGCAGACGCTCTCTCGCTCTCTCTCTTAATTTTTGTTTTTTAAGAAAACTGTTCTAGTTGTAATCCCACTCTTGCTGCGTGCGTAAAATGCGAAGATGTAAACTGAGAAGAAAGGTCCGCGTCTCTGCAGATTTTAAGGATGCGTTCAGCGTGCGCCAGCCGTCCACTGACGGATCTCCATCCGTCTGGAGAGCACACTGAAATGTGAATTGCGCCGAGGAGGTGCGCCACGCCGCGCCGCGCACATCCGTCCACTCCAATCAGACGGAGGTTGGTTCTTGTTGGAAGGAACGCGCAATTCAAGCTATAAGGCTGGGTATAATTAGTGATGACGCACATCAGAGGGAGCTGCGGCTCGATCAAATTATCAAGTCAAAGCACCGGGAGGTTTGACTAACTGGACAGGCTAACAGGTCAATTACAGGAGTTCGGTCCGACAAACTCCAAGGACACCAAACTTTAATTCTTACCTGTCAAAGAATGGACGTGTAGTTTTCATGCAGAAGTTTTTTAGGCAAAGCTGTTGGCCTAATGAATTTTTTGGCTGGTTCTACCAGATGTTTCCTGCGATGTTTGATTTTTATTTAACATGTTAGCTAAGGAAAACAAAATTCCATTATGTACCATGAAAGGGAGCTGGGGTACCACCAGTGGTACACTTGCCATAGCTTGAGAACTACTGCATCAGGCAACCAGACAACAAAAATACATTTTTTTAGACTCCATCAACCAACTGAAATGCACTTTATTAAAGGACCTGAAATTCATTTACCAATAGTTCAAATTCAGTTCTTCATACCGTCAGAGAGTGAACAGTTCCATCTCAGCCCTACCTCTGTCCCTCTGGGTTTTTTCAAACAACGTCAGATGAGCTATAATGTTAAGAGCAGTGGAGATGTCAGATATCATCTCCTGTAACCACAAGTGATGACTCCAGCTGGGGAAAAACCAACGTGTTATTGATTTATTTCATTACAGCCTGGCAGTTTCGCTGTGTGAGAATGACGACTTGACTGACACGGGTAAATTGATTGAGACTCTTTTAAACTAACCACAGCAGAACCTGAAGTATTTTCTCTCAGCGGTCCACATCACAGAAGCCTGCCTGGCTGCTGAGGAAGGGATGCTGAAGTCAGAAAGTAGGAAGACGAACAAAGAAGCCTCTGCGTCAGAGCGTTTTTAAATGTCTGTAAAAAGAACAACGTCTGCTTTTGGAAATTGCGGCAAATCATTGAGTCAAAACTTTCAAAATCAATGTCCGATCACTTACCGAAACCTTAGACAGGTTTGTCTTCCCAATGACGTCTTCCCAATGACGACAAGGAGACAAAATGAGTGGAGTTGATGGTCATTTTTCCTCTCACTTTTTTTTCTGGAAGGTTTTATTTACATGACTCCCATGTGGAGTCAATGGAAAAGGTCAGCAGGGAAATTAACTAAATTAACGGGGCACAGCAGCAATGTGTTAAACATTACTTTTACCATTAGGACCAATCAATACTCCATTAATAGATTTCTGTCAAATTCAATAGGTGAACTAAAGTGTTAGAATAATTTTGATGTGACATTTGAGCATTCATTTAGTCTCATGGTTTGGTATTTGGTTTTAAAAAAAGAAACGCTTATTTAATTACCAAAACATTAAAAGGTTGCTGTGTTTTCTACGTCTGCCGTTACACAGTAACACAGAGTGATGTCTGAAGTGAAGTCTCGACGCTGCTCCATGTGGAGCCAGTGATAAAGTGCAGTTGGGAACTTGAGGCCTCTGTTTGCTTTCTAATTACTGAGTCATGATCAAGAGCCAATCAGGATCTGGCCCTGATTGAACGAATTGATTATCCATCCTGCCAGGTTAATTATACAAACTATTAGTAGCCTGCCTGATACTTGTGGAGGTGGATACTGGATTCAGGGGGTCGCGGGTGGTGGTGGGGGGTGGACTTTAATTAGTAGATGAAACACTTGTACTGTAGTATTGTGTTTATTTCCTCAGAATGAGTCCATTTTTATTAACAGATAACCCCCAGAATGGTGGTAATGTTGGATTACGTCTGATGTATTTATTTAATCCCAAAATTGACAAACGACTCTGTCCAAGTTTCATGTATGTGTAACACTGAAAAGTAGGAACAATGGGTGAACAGTAGTTCCCAAAGTAGGGGGCGGGCCCCTTTGAGTGATCATGGAGCTTTTGCCAGTGGGTCAGCAAATTTAAATTTGATTTAATATTATTATTATTATAAAGAAGGATGTAGGGGAAAGACTCTAATTAGGACTTTTGGTAATTTGATTAAATATTTGATGCAGATGGATCTGGTTACTTTGTTTCTACAAAAAACAAACAAAACAAAAAAACACCTCAGTCTCAGTCCCAGACCAACTTACTGTATAGAAGGTTAATAATGTGGTCGTTTTTTTCTTTTCTCTGGCTGTTTTGAGGCAGGCCAATGTGATGGAGCCTGGAGCTTCTCCTAGGAGATGTGGTTGTTGTGACCAGGTGATTCTGGAGTGGAGAATATTGATCAGGTCCTTTGTTGGCCTATTTACACCTCTTCTGTACAGAGGCTAGAGCCATAAAAGGCAGATGTGTTGCTTTCATCTTCTCTCTTCATATGGAGAACATCACCTACCTGTTCTCAGAGTAGTTCTGTTGTGTTCCTGTCAAAGTGGTATCACGGTGTTCCCGTTTTGTGGTTTATAATTTCCATTACTTTCCACTCATTCTACTGAAGAATTATTGGAATATTTTTATAGAAACCCAACAGGAAATAATCTGTATTTCTGTATTTTGATTATAACTGCTGTGCTACACTTGATGATTCACATAAATGCACTTCAAAGCTCATTGAAGACATGGTAAAGAGATGATACGGGCTGGAATAATGGAGGATGTTTGTGCCTATGGAGTGTCTTAAGGTTTCAAATTGATTCTCAGGTTAAATAATATCATGTTAAAAAATACTATTGATGAAAATAACCATGGTCCTTCCACAATCATTATCCAACCTCAATCCTATCGAGTGTCTGTGAATGTCGTTTAAGAAAGGATTTATGAGGAGTTATGTCACTGAACAACACCTGTGGGAAATGCATGCAGGAAATAAACATGGCTGTACAGGTCGACTGGAGGCTCCATTAAAAGAGTTTGATTTTTGTAGAATGGCATCCATTTAAAGAAATAATGATACATTCATCTGACACTGCTGACAGACCGTGTGCCTGTTGTGCATGACAATTTGGAAAAGTGTGGCAGAGGGAACTAGAGGTAGAGGAGTGAAAGTAATGTAATGGAAATCGCTCTGTGAGTGGCTGTCACCGTGCAATTTCATTATGAAAGCATTATGAAAGTGCGGGCAGATTACCATACATCTGAACTCTTGAGGAACGAAGCGTAGGATTTTCTCTCCAGCAGTCTAAAATGATCGGATCTTGTGTTCCTGCGCATCTTCTCAGAGTTCTGTTAGCTACAAGTGCAGCGTGTGGCAGGATGAGTGGCTGTGGCCTCTGAGAAAGCACAGGCTGTATCATCTGGTTATTACATTTGGATTTAGATTTTCTTTTATCTTCACCAGCATTAAGAGCAGAGTCGTGGCCCAGAGCGGTGACTAATGATGTAAACGACGACGACAGGAGTAATCAGTTCTTCATGAGCATCTGAGAAGGTAAAGACTGTTTGTACCTGCATGTAGAACCTTTCCAAACCTCAACCTGGAAACCACACGTTAATCCTCAGTTATTTATTTTTATAATAAAAATACTCTGATCAGTTGATGTGGCATAAAGTAACACAGTATGATCTAAAGTAATGTAAAGCAACAATGTGACCCAACAGAACAACAAAAACTAAGCCATCACTGCCCCAAAAAAGTTAGCAGCAGATATGCTGTTATCAGCATATCTATAATAGCATCAAAAAAATAATGCAGAAAAAAAAATCATGCATTTGGTGAGCATTTCACCAAACATGTGGATCCTTCCAAGGCAGGCGTGCTAACCGATACACTATGAAACAGATCCTATGATAATTAGTTAAATGAAATTAGCCTTAAACTAAAAAAACAAATCAACTCAATGAAACTACAGCTGCAGTGTGACACACAAGGGCGTGGCCTATTTTTGACCAATCAGATTCCAGCAGGCTTCTGGGAGACCTGAGGCCTGTTTAACCTGTGACCATGTGCTGTTTGACTGCAGCAGTGGAACTGGACCTGTCATGTGGGTAAGTCTGTGAAGTTCAGTTGTCTTTTAAATACTCTACTGAATAATCCACACTGAGTGGAGAGACGCTCAGAGGCGGGGTTTTTTGCCCCGGTGATAATTCCTCTGAGGTTTATTGGTACCTTCTCTCTGACAGTCACTACACACTTGTTTGTCTTGATTGTTGAGCAGCTAAAGATGTGCTGATTTGCAGCCACTAAAGCGTGATTGATTGTGTTTACCGAGGATCATGCCGCCTGACTTTGTTGGTCTTTGATCTAATCCACAACTCTCCTGCATTCCCTTTTATTACCTTTACTGGCAGCAAATCGTTAGCATCGTGGCACTAAAAACAAATCAGACAAAGGGCAAATCAATACATTTTAGACCAGAATGTCCAGAGACTTGACATGAAGTCAGTTTGATGTCTACATATTATAATTTGAAAAAAGTTTTTACTGGGAAAAAACTAAGTGGGTACAATAGCTAGTGGTTTGCCTTTTTAGTACTTTTCAATATTTGTATTATATTCTTTTACAGTTATCTTGTTTTTATGGAATATGTTTGAATATGGAATATATATGGAATATGGGACATACAATAGTAGACACTCTTCTTACCATCATCATTTGTCAAAATAATAATTATATGACATCTACGTTTTGTGTGGCTGCCTCTTTTCTCCTCTTCGAGCAGACTCGACAGTCCTTCCTGAAAGTGTGTGTTGACCAGGCATATCATATCCTTACAGCAGTGGGCTGAGGACTCAGGACACAGGCCGTCTCTCCTAGCTTCTGTTCACTGTGTGCGTCCCTCTAATCTCGTGAAAGCAGAATTGGTTTTGGGTTGTCTTTTCACAGCCTGGAGATGATAGATAATGTGGCTTATGGAGGGAGACGGGATTTCTCAGGTGGTCTGTCTTTGAATGAGCTGTCAGCGCCGCAGACTGTCCTTTGTCCTGGTGGGCTGTCTGTGATTCACTGTGCAGTGTCTGCCAACATTCCCCCCAGGATTTATAGTCTTTCAGATGCACAAATCCCTATTTGTTATATCATGTGTATGTTTTTATGTCTTGTCATTTAAGACCCCCGACTCCACTGAGGACACATTTCACCCAGTGTGGTCGTTGGAGGTAATTGCGCTGCTGTTTGAAATTATCTTTTTAATGTGAAAAAATCCAACATAAAATGCACATACTGAAACGACACGTTACCCAACAGTGAACGTCGTGATGGTGACGGAATACAACTTTTTTTTTTTATTATTGTCTTAATTTTGAATTCCTTTGAATATCCCTGAAAACGATGTACAGTGGCGCCCCGAGATGTGAGTTCCAAGTTACGAGTAAGCAACTTTGGCAAGATTTTCTTTGTGATACAAGGAAACATCTAGTTACGAGTGCTCAACCGAGCTCCATTTTTTCGCTCGATACCGTCTCTCCCTGGGTTATTTTACCTATTTTTATAACAATAATATAACATGTTTTCTTAAATATTATTATTTAGTATTATCAATATAGTTGTTTATGTCTATGTTTTGATTTTTAGATGCAAGGGGGATTTTAATTAAATTTATTAATAGTGTATTTTTAGGGGCTGGAAGGAATACATTAGTTTTTAGTTATTTTTAATGGTGAAAATGCAGTCAAGCTACGAGCGGATCGACACGAGTGCTGCTGTGGAACGGTTTGAACTCGTATCTCGGGGCCCGACTGTATTGATGAAAACTTGTTGGTGCCAGACAACTCGGCTAATGCAGTAATTCATCATACTATTTGAGTGATTAGTATTTGCTACACGAGTGCCCAAATACCTCAGGGCTGAGAAACAATAACACAGTCCTTTGTTGCACTTATTACTGTCAGGGTTTTAATTATTTTCACATTTGTTAGGTTTCACATGGGCACAGGTGTTAGTTAACTGAACTAAACTGAGAACAGCGGCGGTGGCGGTGGCGGAAAAAGCTAATTTGATTAATATCAGGACGTGTGCACGTCATTTGATGTGGTGATAAAACCACGATAGTTGATCAGATACTGAACATTTAAAGTCTACAGTTTGAAATGGCCTCAGTGTCTTAGTTCTTATTCTCTTTAAATACAAGTGTTAAATGTTTCTCCAACAATAGCAACGTAAACACCATCGTTTTACGTAGGAGGCAAAAGAAAGGCCTTTGTTACGGTGTGATAACGCCGATAACTGATGAAACGAACCAACAAAGATAAACGCAGATCTGCAGTTACATGGACGCGTGGGGAAGAAGGAGGCTGCAGTGATGCACTTCATGTATTATTCTGGGGACGGAGGCAGATCTGATTCTCTCTCACACATAGGTGTAAACAGAATGCACAGCCATCTGTACAACACGCCCTGCATGTTTACCAGCTGCCACGCATTCACAAATCAACGTACAAAAATTAGGGCGAAAGCTCTTTTACATCGACTAGTTTAGAGTTTGATGGATTTTATTGTACGTTTGAATTTGCACCTGAGTTACGGTCATCGTTGAACGTAGTTGTTGGTTGTTGTGCTAGTTGTTAACGCTGCTCAGTGGTTAAAGCATTCAATTTTCTAGTATGAAAACTGAAAAGTGAGACATTGACATTAGTGTCAAGCCATGTTGCTTTGTTTTTGTAATATTTTGAGCAGTTTTTGGTGAAGAATACACTTTTCAAAAGTAGCAAACGGCTCTGTTTAATAACAGACAATGCACAACAAACATAATGTGTGTATAATGACTGTTAAAATACCTCTGATGGGTGAAAAGATGAGCACAGTAACTGTCTGAGAGTTGGAATGTTGTATTTAAATTGGCTGCTTGCTGTAACTACTGTATGCTAGAGTTGCAGTATCCACTGACTTTGCTTTTGAAGTGAATTGTTTTTAGCGTACGAACCATATACAAGTCTTGAACCTAAATCTTCATCTTAAATTGTTGCTCTTAAAACTATTTAGTGTGGTCACTTCCAGCCTCTCCCTTCAGGGGGCGCCACAGCAGATCATCTGCCTCCATCTCACCCTATCCCCTGTCTCCTCTGCTTTGTTTGTTTTCATGTTTTTACCTGTTTCTTCGGGGTCAGGTCGACTGGTTGAGTGTGACGACTCCTGGGATTTACATCTGAGAAGATAAAGGAATGTGTTACAGTTCTTGAATGAACTGTCTCCACACGCTTACATTATACATAATACAGTTTAATAGTGAGCATGGTGATATGCCGGCCTGCTGATTACTATGTTTGTCCTTAACAAACGTGTGTTCTTAAGGTCAGCGCTGTGTTCACTCAGCAGCACAGATCACAAATACCCAGTCCAAGCAGCAGATGGCTGAGTTAGTAGATCCAGAAACCTAGAAACACAGCAAGTGGCAAACTGAGAGGTGGGAAGCGAGAACATTGCTATCTTGTGGCTACAGCAGTGTGTGTGTGTGTGTGTGTGTGTGTGTGTGTGATTGTGTGTGTGTGTGTGTGTGTGTGTGTGTGTGTGAGAGAGAGAGTGTGATTCGTTTTTCTCACCCACAGATGTAGTCAGAGGAACAGCAATATCGGTTGCCTCCAGGTGCAGCAAGAAACCCAGATCCCGCTCCTGCCTCATAATGAGTCTTAAGTATTGAATTAGCCCAGAGCGCTGCTGGGATTGAAATTCGACATGTTTTTTTTTAGTCTGTGTAATTAAGTAGATTATTTGTAAAAACGTGTCGTCATGAAATTTAAATTAAGCACAACTGTGAGATGTATTAGTTACACACTTT